AAACACACAGGTGCTTGGGGAAAAAATTAGGAATAATAAGAAAAACAAAAAGAAGTAAAGAAGCATACATTTACTCTTTGACTCAAAGACTTCACCAAGTTCTCATAAAAAGATTTTTAACAAAATAGTACAGCCCAGCCTCTCCACAGTCCATGCCAGATGCACATCTGAAATCGATGCCCTGTGTCACTGCTCTCAACTCTATGAGGTGAATGCAGCAGTAAATCACACATTTATCTCACACTGATCATCTCCAAGGACCCCAGAGGACTTCAGAATTTGGGAAGATTATGGAGTGAAATGGGTTTGTCTCATTTATACCCATAGGCTGCAACACATGTGAAGGCAACTGCTTCTAATGAAGTGAGAGCAGATCAGCTATCCACACTATAATTGGACAATCATTTGCACAAATCAGCTGCTCATCTTCCCTAAAAGCTTTTCCTTTCTCTTCCAAACTTTCCCTGAGGGAAGGACAAGAGTTCTGCTTAGAACCCCCTGAAATATCCCACAATTGTGCAAAATATTTCCATCTTGGAAAAAAAAAAAAAAAGTCTGACTTAATGAAAAAGCAGTAGGACAAAACCAGAACCACTGTGTTTAATATCTTCAAGATACTATTTTTATGGCTTTTAAGGGACCATAGACTCTGCTTGACCATCGGATGAAGCTCATCCAGACCCAACCATTGCTACTGAAAAAAGTCTTTCCTTCTCATCACTGCCTTAAACAGTTCAGAGACTGGAGAACTTTTGCTGAAGAATTGAAAAACTATTTCTTCTTGAAGCAGAGAGGTTCTAACCACCACATTTTCCTGTGTGCAGTAAGTGAAAGACAGAGAACATCCAGTGTTACTCAAGTGCTACCACATGCCCTGTTTCCTCTGGACAACAGGATAGTGAGCAATGCCAACAACTCAAAAAATTTTACTTTCTTTTAAGAGATGGGAGCTCCTAGATGGATTAATGAAAATAATGCTGCGAGAGATCTCAAGGAATGATCTAGCTCATCTCTCCTGTCCCAAGCACAATCTAAATATATCCACATCTTTCCTAGCAGATGTTTGCCTGAAAGCATGCAGAAATTGAGATTTTGATCCCTCTGGGCAGGGCATGCTGCTGCAGGGTGAACTTGGACAGAGTTAGGTTTGTGTTTGGATTGCCACCTCTATCCCTATCACATCCATAAGCTCTTTACACAGGAGCAATCACTGCCTTTCCTACCGGACAGTCTCTTCCAGAGCTTTGACTGGAACAGTTGAGTACAAATAAGCAGCTGTCCCTCAACTTTGATGAAAAAAAGTTGGAAACAAATCATGCCTACCCCTCTTCTGTGGCCTCAGTGACCGGGTGGACCTACAAGATGGTAGGTGCATGCAAACCAGCTTTGTCCTTGCTACACAGGATTTCTTTGCTGTTCTCAGTGACTTAACATCTAGGGAATACTCACACTGGCATCCAACTTACATCCCTAAAATAGAAGCCTGAGTTTCTCCGTAGTTAACAGCAAGCTGTAATTTCCTCCCAAGAGTGACTCAGAAGACCTAAACTGGGAGCCTACGCTTCTTTGTGTGACTCTAGACGGTCTCTGAAGTTAGACTGTGTGAACATGACGTGGCATGCATGGCTTCTCTCTTCCTCTCCCAGACAAAGTAAGTGCTCCTTTCCATGTGGCCCATCTAGCTAGAGGTTTTGATTAACTTCTCCTGCAATACTTGGTGCAGGGTCTTGTGCACAAACTCTTGGGGCCAGACACGTGAAGAAGAGGAAGCAGCATCAGAAAGATAAACCACAAGATAAGGCCTGGAGGATATGAGATCTGCTGGTCTGTAGCTGCACAGCACCCAAAAGAAGAAACTTGCATGCAAAACGTTGTTTTCAAAAAATAAATATTGCAGGCCAACACCATGCTGCAAAAACTAGCCAACATCTCTTCCTTCAGAAGGTTCAGCTGGATAATTAGTCACATGGAGAGTTAATTTAATAGGATTTTTTTTAAAATCAGGTTTTTTAAAAAAAGAATTGTATTTTAGAAAAGGTAACCAAAACAGCAGAAAAGCAGTGTATCAAAAGTGGTTCTAAAATGTACGGGACGTGAATCAGCCTTAGTATACATCCCACCACTTTAGTGGACTTCTCCTGCTCAGGGCAAGCTTGGCTTCTCAATATTTAAGCCCAAATGTCTAAGAGACAGCACTGTATTCAAGAAAGTTGCTATGGAGAGGTCCTAGTGCTCTAGAAAAATCCCCAGGGCTGTGTGTTCCTGTCTGTCATTTAAGAAATGCTGTGGGTCCCCAGTGCCAGGTCTGCAGCCTGCAGGAGACACCAGCCCTGTCACCCCTGGGCCAGCACTG